TTTTTGTGACGAACACTTGCTAGGATTTACACGTATACTTGGGAAAGAGGTGATGATAGGAGCATGATAGATTTCGTAATTGTGGATGAAAGAAAGAGGGGCGCAGTGGTAGATACAAGGGTTTACCGGGGGTCTAACGTAGGAACGGATCACTATTCGGTTTTATGCCGAATTAATGGTCTATTCAGGCGTTGGCGCCATCGGTCATCTGTGTCTACCACTGCGTTACAGCGTATTAGAACTGAAAGGTTACAAGAGGAAGGTGAGAAAAACAAGTTCAAATGTAGACTTAAAGAAAATATAAGTGGTTTGGATGAATTATGTATGAATGAGTTAGACTTGGAGAATGTATGGCAAAATGTTAAGAAAGGTTTAGTGGATGCAGCTACCGAAGTATGTGGTGTTAGTAAGAGAAAGAATGAAAGGAAAAATAATACGTTATGGTGGGACGATGAGATAAGTATGGTAGTTGAAGCAAAGAAGAGAGCATGGTTAGATTTACTAGCATCAAAGGCTGGTAATTCTAGCGGTACGAATGATGATATTGAAAGAAAAAAGGCAGTCTTTAGACATCTAAATAAGAGAGTAAAAGAAGTAGTTGAAAGGAAAAAGCAAGAAAGAACGGATAAGAATGATAGAAGAATATCGGATAACTTCCAGGCAAATATTAAAATGTTCTGGAAACTCGTAAGAACTGCCAGGGGACATTCAAAACAGCCTATAATGAATGCTATAAGAGATGAGAATGGCTATATTCTGAATGATGAAGTTTTGAGTTTAAAGAGATGGAAGTTTTTGGGTTTTTTGAGAAGACAACGTATAAAATAAAAGAAGTAGAAACTCCGAAAGAAGAGGAAAGAGGTAGCGAAATGCTAAGGGCTGGAGAGGAAGTGGTGGCAGGCCCGCTGCACACCATGTTTAATTTATGGTGGGAACTGAAGCGGGTACCGGTAGACTGGTGCAAAGCCGTGATAGTCCCAGTATATAAAGGAAAAGGGTCGCGGTCGGGTAAAAACTTCCGTGGTATCAGCCTTCTTAGCATTGTGGGAAAACTGTATACTAAGGTACTGATTGAAACGGTCATGAAAGGAAATGATGAAAAAATTTGGGATGTGCAAGCGGGATTTAGAAAGGGAATGGGATGTACAGATCAAGTCTTTTTATATTAGATACTCTGTAAACTGTATACTGTAAACAGCTGTCGAGATAGATACTGTATCTCGACAGCTGTTTACAGAAGCTGAAAAATAGCTGTTTGGGTGTGAAATTGGGTGACATTAAAGTAAATTGTCTGCTGTATGCAGAACTGCAGGCATTAGTCACGTGTATGAAAGAGGAATGTGAAATTAAAGGTCTCCGTTTGAATGCTAATAAAACTAAGGTTCTGGTATTTGAAAAGGACGAAGAGAGAACGAAATGTGAAATATGGGTAAATCAGGAATGTCTAGAACAGGTAAATGAAATTGTATACTTGGGGAGTGCTTTCAGCCGGGATGGAAGATGTGATTTAGATGTGGATAAGCGTGTCGCTGCCGGAAACATAGTCAATGGTGCCCTGAATGCATTAGTCAAAAGGCAAGGCGTGGTGAAGAGTGCACGCCTTGCAATACATAACGCAGTGTTGGTATCATGCGCATGATCGCGGAAAAGTTTTTGGCCAAAAACCAAAAGGTTTTTTGTGCGTTCATGGACTTGGAAAAGGCCTATGATAGAGTGGATAGGGATGTGCTATGGCAAACACTGAATTCATTTGGGTTGAACGCTGGCTTGATACAGGCATTGGAGTCGCTTTATAGGGACTCTAGTGCTTGTGTTAGGATCAACGGGGTCTACTCGGACTGGTTTGGCATCCATAAAGGTGTCAGACAGGGCTGTGTGGTTTCCCCGTGGCTGTTCAACCTATTTAAGGACAGTTGTTTGCAAAATTTGAAAGTTGAAGAATGCGGATTAAGAATGGGTGAGTTAACCGTCAAATGCCTTTTGTACGCTGATGATCAAGTCATTCTTGCGTCGTCGGCGGCCGAGCTGCAAATGATGGTTACATTAATGAACAGATCTTTAAAAGAAAGGGGTATGAAAGTGTACGCAAGTAAGACGAAAGTTATGATTTTTGAAAGAGAAGAAAGTAAGACGATATGTGAAATAAGAATAGAAAGGGAGTTGATCGAGCAAGTAGATGAGTTTGTATATCTGGGTTGTATTTAGCATGGATGGGAGATGTGATAAGGATATAGAACGACGAGTGAATGTAGGAAATAGAATAAATGGGGCCCTACACTCTATTGTGAAGAGTCAAAATGTGTCGAAAAAGGCACGTATGGCAATTCACAATGCTGTGTCGGTCCCTACTTTAACGTATGGTAGTGAAAGTTGGGTGTGGCAGAAGAAGCACGAGAGTAGAATAAACGCAGTAGAAATGCGGTCGTTAAGGAGTATGTTAGGGCTGAATCTGAATGACAGGGTAAGAAATTGTGTAATAAGAGAAGAGAGTGGTTTGCATGATGATGTTGTGACAAGGATTAAGAAAGGAATGCTTCGGTGGTTTGGTCATGTGGAAAGAATGAATGAGGAAAGAGTGACAAAGAAAATTTATGTTGCAGAAGTAAATGGCAGAGTCGGAAAGGGACTTCCTAGGCGAAAATTTATCGACCAAATTGGCGATTTATTGAAAACGGGCCAAATTAGGAGTACCCTTAACCGACGAGCATGTATGCGTAGGTGTATGGATGTGAAGGAGGCGAGAGAGGTGTGTCAGGATCGTGCCAAATGGAAGTCTGTAGTCTCTGCCTACCCCTCTGGGTGACAGGCGTGAGTGTTTATGTTTATGTTTTATGTTTATGTATGTATGTATTTCAGACTTGTCAATAATCGCAATTAAAAACAGTTATTGGTTTAATTAAGACGTTCACCAGCATTTTACGTGGACGTAATTAAATCTTTCCTTAAGAAAGAGAGACGATTCCATTTAGAATGTAAATAATTTTTTTTTAATTTTGTACATAGTTTGTTTGCACTTTGTTCATGTTTTACTTTTGTTCATGTATTGTATTGTATATAAATATCTTTTTCTTTCGTTCAAACAAACCCAAACGGCTTTCTTCAAAGCCACCGAAGCTATGCAATTACTGATATGTAATACAATCTATCTAGCAGTGGTATGCCTTCTGTGTGCTTTGTTAAACACGTCCTTGACAGCACTGAATATGAAACTGAAGCGTGGAGACAGATCAAGATTGGTGTATTTTTATAAAACTGCTAAAAACAACAATGTAAATTTTTATCAATTTATATCTTGGGCTTGCCCTAGTTTGGAGCTCTAGCTTCGCCACTGTGCTGTACCATTCAATTGCGGCGTTAGCGCCGCACTTTACTCAGTTACTCGCTAGGCCCCATAGATAGCGCTAGTGAGTTGACACGTGTTGATTAATTTTATAAAAATATAAAAATTCTACAAAAAATATGCATTGGTGTGTTTGTAGATATTGCACAAATAATTCAAGTAATGTTAGCAAATATCAAGGAATAACTTTTTATCGGTTAATAAGATACTAATCAATAAAAAAAGTATTATAGATTAATAATAAAACAAATTGTTCCTAAGACGCCATATCGTGTCATGGAGTATAGATTATGAAATTAATTTGTTCAGATGCGACATTTCTGTGGGTACTTAAGTATAGGACGAATATATTATTATTTACTATGCACAATTTTTTGTAGAAACATATAAGTAATTATAATGAGGCTACATTTTTCATATTTAAATCTGCTCATTATTCTTTTATTTTATTTTTAGGTTTCCACATCAAAGTCAAAGTGGAATAAATTTGTCCAATTTTAACTCTCGCATGCCCAGCATTTATTAACGACTCTTATTTTAATTTAAATAAATATATTTTTAATTTTAATGTTATATTAATAAGTTTTGTTAAACATACATTTAGTATGTTTTTTTTATATTTGACATAGTTACCTTTTAAAATATTCAAATAAAAATATCATTAAAATGTAATTGTGATATAATATTATGTAATGTTATATTAAATAAGTAAATACTCTATACTATAAATTTTGTAAATGACAAAATTTGAAAATTGTACTCGATATAATTTACCTATTTACCAATACAATCTATTATTACCTACTGATCATTCTACCTATGTTTATTCTATGATAAAAAACCAACCGCGCCAACACAGAGTAGCGCACATTTTTTGTTTGAAATAGCCATTCTTTACTGTACTTTCTTGTAAGTACATATTACTTCAATGATTGAGATAGATTTTATTCTACTACTTTTTCAAAATCTGCAATTTATTTATAACCAAGGATTTTAGAAAATTCGTGTTTTTTTAACAAGAGTTCCGACGTCCGAAACAAAAATAATACGTCTTTGCTTTCGAGAGCAACCGAGGGCCGGAGAAATTGGTATAGTGTACCAACCGGTCTTCAGTAACGATCATGCGGTTTGCAGCTCGTCACCCGCCACACTTGATCAACGTGGTAGAGTCGGAAAAGGACCACGCTCTCGTAGAATACCAGCGTAAAATCGCAGTTCAATGTTGCTGTGTTTCGCATCTGCGTTTTGATTGTTTATCGATTCGTAAATATCTATGGACCACAGCATCCACTTATCATCAGGTGGACTGTACACTCTTTTGTCACCCTTAATCTATAAAAAAAATTACTTAAAATTATCTCACAATCCTACTCCCAGCAATACGCCAAGAACGCTGGCTCGTCCATGCACGATAAAATAACCAGCCATCTTCTTATACAATTCTTCTGTCTGTGTAATGTGACTGAATTCCTTCTGAACGAATGGACCGATTTTGATGAAATTTTGTGTGTGTGGTTAAATTGATTTGAGAATGGTTTAGATTCACAATTGGAACTGGTAGGTGGCGGTGCTGTCGAGATGCATAAAACACCAGTGCAAAGCGCATTGCTAGTACTATTATATAAAAAAAACACATATACACACATACATAGGTACTCACTCGAGTGCAGCCGACGGGCGGCTGAAGAAGTGTGCGTAAAGTGCGTACTCATCGCGGCAGGCGAGCGCCAGCAGCGAGCAGGCGGCACGCAGCGCAGCGCAGTGGTCGCGGGGGGCGCCGCGCAGCGCTGCGCCCGCCGCGCCGCCCGCAGCGCGGGCACGGCGTGCTGCGTACTCACGCTGTGCGTCCGACACCAGCGCAGCGTAACTATCGACCGTACGATTTATTTATTTATTGCTGACTGCGCCCGCGACTTCATATGCATTGATGCAAAATTACAAATCATATCTGTTGAACCTTTTGAAATACCATTTTTACGGCAAAATAGATCAATTACTCAATCAATTGAAATGTCCCAGAAAACTTTTTGCGCAAAGAACTAGTGTTTACAACGAACACGTAAGGTGTACATAAATTAGACAATTACCGTTATAGTTACAGCCCATTGAAGTCAACTGCTGAACATTGGTCTCCTCCATAGATTACTTCATAGGGGATATTTAGGGTTGGCAAGCGAAAAGTCAACCGCAATTTTTTATTTAGTCGTTATTAGGAAGACGCTGCTCCCCATCACTTATTTTGTTTCTACTTCACTGCATGGCACACTATATAGTCTGATAGACGGCAGATCTATTGATTTATTTCATTATTTCTAGCTGTACTTTATATGCATGAATGCAAATCAAAAAAATATATCTTTGAAACCTTTTGGAAGACCTTATATAATGTGTGTAGATACTATTAAAGTAAAAATATTTTTTTTAGTTTTCAATTTTTTCGTGAATTCTATCCTTATGAATTAACAAATTGTGACCAATAACTTGTACCAGAAAATTAATAATAATGTAAAAAAATAAACATACTCTTCATTAGTTTCTGCTCGTTTCTCAATTTCACTTATGACCATCCTCAGTTTAGGTGCTGCAGCTTGGAACTTGCCGAAGTAAACCGCGTAAGCAGTATCCATTGTGTCTTGGTCAGTGGTATCCTCCTCAGGAGCCAACACTTGCTCAGTGGCATGATTGAGAACTTGTATAATGTATGACCGGATTAGAGAAATTCCTCGGTTTTGTAAATGCCTGTATTTTACTAAATAGGCGTGTGCCTCCTTGAAGTTATTCTGTGAAATGATGACACTGGATCAGTGGCATAATTCAAAACAAGTATGAAGTCCTTGGTTTGCAGTTGCCTATATTTAACTATAAAGGTATGTCCCCTAATGAAGTTTTCCTGTAAAATGATAACATATTGAACAATTATGTTTTCGAACCTAAAACAGGTTGGTGACATATTTTTTACTCTTACGATTAGTTCTTGATAAAATGTTTAATTATCTTAAATGATATTAATAGTTACTACGCAACCATCCGCCAAATTAAAAAAAATGATGTGTCTTACCTAGTTTGAAGAGCACCGAAACGAGGCGAGGGAGGGTTAGAGGCGAAATACGTGTCGTATTATAGTCAATGGTGTATCTTTCCTAGAATAATAGTGTTGGGAGTAGTGGTGCTGGAATTGGTGGTGCTGGAATTGGTGGTGACGGAATTAGTGCACGCAATTGAGGGAGGGCGGAAGGTGCTCTTCAAACTAGGTAAGACACATCATTTTATTTTATTTGGCGGATGGTTGCAAAGTTACTATTAATATCATTTATTGTATTCCATTGCCGCAAAGTAACGCCTGATTCCATCAATTAGTTTAATTATCTGTTAACAAATAATATAGTTTTGTCCATAAAGCCTAAGTAGTGAATATGATTTTGTTACCTAAATTTATTGTATTATCTGTTAATTAAACTCACCTACACCCGGATATCAAATTTTAAAAATACAAAGTATAATTACATGATTTCTCATATAGTCCAAGCACTCATCAATCTTGGCCAGCACATTAAAGAATGCCTCGCTATTCACTGACATGGTTGAACTGTTTAGTCTTTGTGATAGATGTTCAACTCGTGTAAAGTAATGTAGCTTTTGTTTTATGTCGTCACCTGAAAATGGCCAATATTTTGCATTTTTAACTAGCTTAAAAAGTAAAGTTGCAGCCTATTTAGTAAATATTATATTACACTGCTGAGCACATGCCTTCTCTTATTTCTGGAGGATTATCTAGCAATAAGACCGCCGCTCTGCACTAATGCGTATTTGCCGACTTCACATACCAATGATTTTATTTTCTATGACGAAAATATGTTCATGATCATTTAGGTTCCTGTCATTCTATCATAGAGATTTTTCTCTTAGAGGATAGCCTCTGGACATAGGACATAGGTCCTAGGGTGGCTTCCAACAGTGAGTGACATAGTTCACAATACCATGGAGTGGACAGTTGACGACTATGAACAACCACATGGTGGTTCCAACAGTGTGTGTGTCTGTGCCGGTCTGAGATACAAAGCCAATTTGCTATTCAAAACTGCTAAGAGAAGAGAACATACGGCTGCACCTGCAGTCCTTGTGGTACATCGGTATTCCTTAGACATAATAATTATGTGAAGTGCTTAATTAAAAAAAAATTCTTATGTTCTAGTGTTGTGAAATTCCATCATATTAACTCATTCATTTATCATTACAACACATCAAAAGTCTACTGTTAAACATAGGCCCCTCTTGTAGATTGACTTAAAATGTAGGTTTAAAGAAGTGAAATATACAAAGACAACAAAAATGTTAACTTTTACATTTTTGAAGTCTTTGTGTGTTAATTCAATACCTTTGATAAATAATCTATTATTTCAAAAATGAAAAATTAACTATTTTGTGTTTACTTTTATTAAATCTTTTTGCAATAAAGTGCTTGAAAATTATTTTCAACTACCTACTGTATATCCAAAAGTGCCATTGAAAATTTCTGTGAAGAATACTAATATCAAATACTAATAATATGATATATGGGGGTGTTTGTATCGCGGTGTAGAAATAGTGTTCTTTAATTGTTGTTGGCGTGTGTGGGGTTTCTGGGGGTTAAAATCTTTGGGGGGGGGGGGGGGTGTTGGTATAGATTGACAGAAAATTATGAAAATTGTGATTTTTTAATCACTTTTCGTTAAACCAATGCATGTTACCAGTGATTACATATGGATGTGATTTTTCATTGCTTGCTGTACGAGTAAGCTCAAGGTCGTTCAGCGAGCTACGGCTAGGGTTTTATGCAGTTTCTCTGCATGATAGAAATCAAATATAATATCCGCAGCAGAACCGACAAAGCCCAACGGAAAAGTAAGCTATAGGCCTATCATACATAGCAGAAAGAACCAACAACTGATAGGGAAGAGTTTCTCGTTAGCCTTATAAGCATAATACAGTGGAATCTCTATAACTCGAACTTCGTTAAGTAGAAATCTTCAGTAAGTCGAAAAAAATTGCCATTCCCTTTCGGTGAACCCTTAAATACGCGGTATCTCGAATTATTTAGACTTTGTAACGCAAACAAAATGTTATTTCCCTACGAAGTATTCGTAATACATATTTATACTCTATAACTCGAATTTCATAAAAGAGACTCCGTAAGTCGTAGTTAGTAAAATATAGTGACGTCTTACTTGGAATTCTCCGAAATAATAGCAATAAAATCCAAAATGAATGTTCGGGTTCGGGGCTTCTAATCTATTTTTTGTCTTATACAAGTGCAATGAATGCATACATTCATAAAACTTTCTAACTAACACATCTGTGAACGTTATCTTTGTTCCTTGTCGACACAGGACAAGAATACTTTTAGCGGAACTTGTCCGTCAGTATTCATTTTGGCTTTGGCTGAGCTTGAAAAAATAATTGATGAAAAATCTGCAAATAGTTCAAATAAAAAGAAGAAAGAAGTTTACTTCATTAATATGCAATTTGTTTTAATATGTAAAATATATATTCTATAAAACTTAAGTTGAAAATTTTTATTTAAATTTGACTCTACAAATCAAAAAAAAATATACTTAGGAATTGCGGCTTTTTAAGTCGAAATTTCGACTTAAAAAGCCGCAATTCCTAAATATATTTCGTAATCCTAAAAATAAGTCGAAATTTCGATTCCGTTTCCGGTGATCGCAAAGTAAACACGCACGTCAAAGTCCTCCGCAAAATAATAACTGTTTTTAGTGTAAAGAGTGTGAAATAAAGTGTCACAACACGAAATTCACAAAAAAGGCAATAACAAACGATATAAATAAGTGAACAAAACATAAAACAATTTTCTGGGAATAAAAAAGTGCAATAAAAGCTAGTGAACAACATAACCAAAAAAATTAAAGAGTGAACGACATAACAGTGCTACCAACATAACCAACAAATTATCAAATAGTAGTAACTGTCATTTTGACACAGACATAGCAAGTGTTGCCAGCAACAAGAATATAAACCACCATCCTTCCAGTGTTGTCAGTAAATAATCCAAAAAATGGACAAAAGTATGGAATTATTGTTGTTAAAACTAGATGAGAAATTGAACCAACAAACCAAACTCATAACAGAGTCGGTGATGTATAATGTTATGGAGGCATTAGACGAGAAATTAATAATAATAACTGAAGAAAACATTAGATTAAAAGACAAAATAGTGACATTGGAACAGAAACCTATGATCATGGAAAGAGAGAAAAGAAAATACAACTTAGTCTTCTTTGGCATTGAGGAGAATGGAAAATCAGAAGCGGAATTAGTAGACTACATCAAGGACACAATCATAGAAACAGGCACACATTTAAATAGCCAGGAAATCAGCAATATATATAGAATTGGCAAGAATAAAAATGTTAAAAACCGCCCTGTCGTCATCTCCGTCACAACGCTGTGGAAAAAACACATGATTTTGAAAAACAAGTCAAAGCTGCCGCCAGGCATCTATATAAAAGAAGATTATTCTAAAGAAGTGTTAGAAAAGCGCAAGCAATTACAAGCCCAAGTGAAAGAGGAAAGAAAGAAAGGAAACATAGCTTTTCTAAAACATGACAAAATAATAGTAAAGAAATCATCAGAAATAAATAGAGAAAAAAGAAAAAGAGAAGGCCATGACTCACCTAACTCGGCATCCCAGAAAAAAATCGACTTAAAAGACAATCCAGCTTCTACATCAGCCAAGGGAAAAGAAATCCTAAAACCCAAAATACTTAATTACGTTGAAAGAGGAAGATCTGCTTCAATGTCAGAGATTCCAAAAAACCTGTAATGACCACCGGTACTCGAAATCAACTTAGAACAATTAATACCAAAAGTACACATACAACTATTGAAAAATGCACCCCAAGCCGGTTGGTCACCGTGGGGAAAGAAGACCACTACCCTTCAGCAAATGAAACACCTAAAGATAAAGAAAAAGAGAAACCTAACAATAACAATATACACATAGCCACCCTAAACACACTTTCATTGAGGACTGCAGAAAAACTTCTCGAATTAGAGATAACTTTGGGTAATATTAAATGGGATATTCTTGGTATGAGTGAAGTAAGACGAATAGGAAACTGCATTGAAGAGTATGACGACTACATTCTGTACTATATCGGTGAAACCAAGGGTCAGTATGGAGTGGGATTTATGGTGAAAAAACATCTAAAGAAACAAATCATAGAGTTCAAAGGCATATCCGAAAGAATAGCTTTACTAAATATACAACTACAAGGCTATAAAAACAAGTGGACTATAGTACAAATATACGCGCCAACAGAAGCAGCAGACGAAAAAATAAAAGATGATTTCTACAACCAACTTACAACTACTCTAGAAACTGCCCATAAAAACGTTATCGTCATGGGAGACTTTAATGGGAAAATAGGTAAACAAAAACATGGTGAAGAGACAGTAATAGGAAATTATGGCATAGGAAAAAGAAGCAAGAACGGCAAGAGAATTGTAAATTTGGTCCTGGAGAATAACTTAACCATACTAAATAGCGTTTTCAAGAAAAGAAAAACCAAGAAGTGGACTTGGATATCGCCAGATGGAAATTACCGAAATGAAATTGACTTCATAACTAGTAATCAACCCAAGTTTTTCCGAGATGTTAGTGTAATAAATAATTTCAATTTCAATAGCAACCATCGTATGGTCAGAGCAGTACTATTTCACAAACAACAAAAGAAACAACGAAAACACTTTCACCAGAGTGAAAATACCTGCAAGACTGATACAACGTCTCAAAGCAAAGTAACAACCGGAGAAATAGACAAAACACAAGAAATTTACAACATAGAAACAAACGATATTTATAAAAAGAAGAACAATTTAGTAAAAAACAAAAATACACTGAGCTCGAAAACAATAGATCTCATTCAAAAACGGAAAGAACTGCTTAAAAATAGAAGAAATAAAGCAACATTACATGAAATTACTGAACTAAGTAAGGAGATAAGTCGCAACATAAAACAAGATAAGTCGAATAAAAGAATGAAATGTATCCAAAAACACATTACAAAAACAGGAGGTATCAATAAAGCACTTAAAGAATTAAAAGAAACAACGCTATGGGTCCCGAAAATGAAAAGCAAAAATAATAAGGACGAAACAAGAAGACAGCCAATTTTAAAGATAGCGACAGACTATTATGGGAAATTATACTCTACCGAAAATACCTTAAAATTAATCATAAACCTTGAAGACAAAACAGAAGAAATCCCTCCGATTCTTGAAAGGGAAGTTCAGCATGCGATAGAAACACAGAAAAACGATAAAGCTCCTGGACCTGATCATATAACCAATGAGATGATGAAAGCTACATTGCCAGAAACAACAAAAAAACTAACTAACTTGTTTAATCTTATCCTAAACACAGAATCCATACCTTCACAGTGGATAATAAGCACTATAATACTCATCTTTAAGAAAGGAGATAGATCAGACATAGGAAACTATCGCCCAATAAGTCTCATGTCCAACATATACAAGGTGTTCTCTAAAATAATACTGAAGCGCATTACCAAAAAACTTGAAGAATAACAATCAAGAAAACAGGCTGGATTCCGATCGGGCTTTGCAACAATTGACCACATACATGTGGTAAAACAGCTCATTGAAAAATGTCAAGAATACGATTATCCATTATACATGGCATTTGTGGACTATAACAAAGCGTTTGACAGCCTGAAACATCAGTACATTTGGGAAGCCCTGAAAAATCAAGGAATAGAAAATAAATATATAAGGATAATAAAAAATGTGTATTCCAACAGCAAAGCACGAATCAAACTAGAAGCAGAAGGGGAAATATTTCCAATACACAGGGGAGTGAGGCACTCTCACCAAAACTTTTTTCATCCGTACTAGAGGAAGTCATCAGGAAAATGGAATGGGACAACATAGGGATTAACATAAATGGAACACATTTAAATCATTTAAGATTTGCAGATGACATAATACTTATAACAGATAACTCGGAAAGCCTTAAAAACATGCTCCAAGATTTATCATGTGAAAGTAAAAAGGTGGGACTAACAATAAACAAAACAAAGACAAAGATAATAACAAACAGATCCCAAATAAGTATCTCAGTAGATGAGGAGGAAATAGATTATGTAAATTCCTATGTATACTTAGGCCAACTTATCGCCTTCAACAACCAAATGGATTCAGAGATTGAAAGACGGTTAGCCAATGCCTGGAAGAGATTTTGGTCCCTCAAAGAAGTGCTAAAAGGCAATCAATATAATATTGCAATGAAAAGGAAAGTATACAATACATGCATATTACCAATCCTTACCTATGGGTGCCAGACCTGGGCAAACACACAAAAACAAAACCAAAAACTGATTACATGCCAAAGAGCCATGGAGAGGAGTATACTGGGTTACACAAAAAGAGACAGAAACAGAGCTGTAGATCTAAGACAAATTACCAAAATTGAAGATATAATAGTTAAAATTAGAAAACTCAAATGGAGATGGGTAGGCCACATGATGAGAGAGAATAGAAATAAATGGACGAAAGATATAACAGAATGGACCCCTAGATACCAAACAAAAAGAAAACGAGGAAGACAAAGAAAACGTTGGTCTGATGACTTAAAAAAGCATGCGGGTCCAACATGGCACAGAACAACTGAAACAAGAGCAGAATGGAGCAAGCTGGAGGAGGCCTTCGTGTCGCAAAGACACGCCGACGCGACGCCCGATAACAACATCATACTAATATAATATCAACTAAAATTAAATACATATGATATTAATAATGTATAATAGTAATTCAATAATGTTAATAATGAATTTAATGTTAAGGTCAATTTTACTTTAAAGTTATATATTTTAATTTGCATTCATAATTTTAACTATGAAATGATAAATTATGTATATTGTGTTGGCAATAAAGGCTTAATAATAATAAAAGTCGAAATTTCAGCAGTTAAATCATATAATATCTGCAAGTTCTTGTTATGTCTAAAACTAGTTAACTCGAATTTTTTTGCATTTCTCTTAACATTCGAGTTATAGAGATTCCACTGTATAATATGGGTAACCTAGTAGTGTCGAAATGGAGTGAGGAAGGAAAATAAAATTATTTGAGTTGTAATTCTGAAATTAATTGTGGTGTAGTGGTGGTGTAAGAGAATCTACTACCTCATATCATCCCATTGGCAGCGTAAGAGTCAAAAGAAAAATGCAGATATGCTGCAAGTAAAAAGGCCCCACTGAGTTTTGTCAACCTTATAAAGCTCATTATGCTGTGTTGTTCCGCTATTTTATGTTGGTATTCTTTGCTAAAGTGGACCTTCATTCTTTAACAGAAGCATGTTTACTTATGCAAGTTACACAGATAAATAAAAAAGTATAGTTGTAGTGAATAAGTCGGCTCGACTGGGGAAGGACCACGCTCTCACAGAATAAGCTTAATCACAGAAATCGTTATTATAAGACAATAGAAGTCGCATTAGACGCGTGACCTTGTCGCCTCTATGATGTGTTGACGAACATCATTCACCATTTCACATTGTGATTTAATTGCGCGAGGAACGTCGTACGTGAATTTATGTTATTATAATGGTGAACTGCAGCATAATCAGTTGTAAAACTCATCAAGGATGTGTAATTCAACTAATAAAGGAATAATATTTTATCGGTAAGTTAATTGTTTAATAATTATCATTGTTTTAACTAATTTACATCTAGATGAATACTTTACTATGGTATGTACCTTTGTAAACTTTCATTTATTACTTTTCATATTGACAATTACCATTGCTGCTTTTGTCCGAATACGCGATGAACGCGACGTTGACAAACTTGCTAAGCAATGTAATATGAAACGTTAGATATTGTGCATTGCGTATGTTTATAATACAGCCACAGGTAACAGTCGCTTAATGTGTATGTGCTAAGATGTGTAGGCAACATCGGTTTTGGAAGTAATCGAGCGCTAATTCATTTTTTTCTTATTATCACTAAATCTGTGAGCTTAATGCTGCTTTGTTTCGTATGGTGAGTGTAGAGAACCGAAGTCCCTTTTTACTGGAAACAAGGCATTCCATCTTAGTCCTCACGGGTGACAACGCATAAAAATGCAGTTTTCTTCTGCAGCTTACTTACCAATATTAGAAAGTTTTGTTTGATCTGCTAACAATTGTTCACTCATGGTATGAAGGGCATTTGTTTTATTTGAAACAAGATTATATTCTTCTGATAACTTGTTCAAGTCTGCCATTGTACCTGTAATCTTCAAATATATAAATTTACATTAACACATGAAGTACAAAAACTAGGAATTCAAAATATTTATAGACAACTCTCATCAAGACTCTTATTACTGGAAATGAGGCTTTCCATGTTAGTCCTCATGGGTGACATCACATTTTCATTTTGATTCGTAATTGATGATACATGTAGATGTTTATGCGCCACAGCAACCACTTACTGTCAGGTGGACTGCATGCTTGTTTGTCACTTTATTCTATAAAAAAAGATACCTATTGGTAAGCACATTAAAATCTACAAATACACCAGTCACTTAAAATAATACCTGATTGGTTAAAGAAACACACTCATTTCTCCTCTCTTCTAGTTGCTTATAATATGTTTCATAAGGAGCATCATCTGCTTTTATGCTGTTTTCATACAAATGCTCATACCATTCGAGAAAATCAAATGTAGTGTCAATTGATGGTATTGAAGTGTCTCCTTCTGCTTTAATCGAAACTTCTGTCTTATCCTAGAAATTGATTAATTGTAATTAAAACAAATTAGTTATAGTAAAACAGTTTTCGATTCAATAATTTCAAGTTTTGAAGTAAAAATGGCGCTATGATTAGATTAGATTAGATGTTGCAGGGATAGCAGCAAATATATCTGTTTTGTAAGGCTGTAACGGTCCAATGCTGGGCACAATGCCTTTCATTATATAATGATTATCTATTATCACCATGATTAGCATTTTTGATCCTGTTCTTTGATGCCAATCCACATGTCTTACACCTGGTAAATACATACTGATAATATCTCCAACTATTTAAGGACATTAGTTGGTTAGTACAATAATCAAAATTAACTTTCAAGTGTTTATCATGTATGCAAAAAAATAATATTGGTCCAAAATTATCTATACATAAGATATATTTTTGTCTTATGTTTGACATAAAATATTTAGATTGATGATGGCAAGTAATATCTAACTGCTCATGCCAATACATCAAATCCGTAAAACAAGAGATACCTGTGGCAGGCAAATGACAACTTAATGGCTAATATATAAGCAAAAATATTTGTTTTTGATATAGTAAGAGGTGTCATCTTGGTGAAAGTTTAGATAAATGTATTATTTATTAATATCAAATATTACAAAATACTAACGTCTCCCGAATCGGGTGCTTTATCAAGAATCAATGATTCTAAATCAAGGATTGCTTCTCTTTGATTAGAAGTTAGTGGTGCCAAAGGATTTTCCGATGTTTCCCATAGTAGTAGTTTGTTTTGAATTTCTTTTAAAGTCATGCTATCCATGTTTACATGAAAATACTTAAATAATATGTATAATTTACATAAATAAAAAAATTGTGTAAACAAGAGCAACTGACAGATGACGTCAAACGCCAATGCCAAGTTGATGACATTGACATTTTGGTAAGTATGTTCCGAAAAATACAACCCAGTATACTGGCACATGGAGTATAGAGGTATGGACGATCTCCCATAGGAGAATGGTTGAAAATGTGTCCATCTGTAAGGCAGTAAATAACAGTTCAAAAACTCTCCACAACGGTGCTCGAGTAGCTGCAGGATATGATAAATCGCCGCAAAATTCGTTGAGAGTGGTTTTGAAAATAACATTTTTGAAAGCAATAAAATAATTATTGTAAAAAGAATTATGGTAAGTCTGTGCAATAAAAAAAATATAAAATTTCTTTAAAATTAAGACTGTAGCTACAGTGGCGCCACCCTTATTTAGCGCTTTCCTACGGATATTTTTTATACTGAGTCTGTGCTCCTTACCTCTACACTCCATTTTTTATTTATTTTTTTGGTTTTGGCGGGAACTTGGCCGTAGACGGATTGTCGCTCCTGTTTTGTCACTTGAATAATGGTTTGAAGTGGATTTTGATCCATAAAAGTGATGCGTTTTTGTGAATTAGGTGTCTGCGCGTGTGAACTATTAAAGAAAACGACGAAACAAGTGCTTTGATGTTGATATAAACTTCAAGTTATTTTGATCGCATGGGCGCCTTATGAACTTGAGTAGCTGTTATAATCAACTGTCCGTTGGGTTGAGCTGTCGTCAAAATCTCCCAAGGGCTTAAAAAAAAGTATATGAAAATGAAGATTCCGAAAGAAATGATAGGCTCAGAAAGGTTAGAACCCAGAGCCATAAAGAGAGATAATTAAAAAAATGATTTTTTACTAGCTGGCTTTACGGCTCCGGGTTCTAGCTCTTAGGAGCCTGTTGGCAATTAAAGAGAGAAAGAGCATAGTGTACTCGTTTGTTTTTTTTTTATTTATACTATGGGTATGTTCCGAAATACAACGCAGTGTACTGTCCAATGCAAATGACGCCATGAATCGACGCTATACTGGTGATTCGTTCCAAAACATTGGACAGTATATGACGTCATACTTTTGCGCCATTTGGAAAAGTGTTGGCGATTATTTTGTCATTTTGTGCTCCAAAAATCATTATATCCTCCTAATGGATATACCATCAATTATTCTATAATTTTTTGTATTTTAATAAATAGAAACAAATTCTGGCATGCTTCATTCGGCAAACACACAATTAAAAATTGTTTTATTATGGCCGGATATCCGACACAATATGGCGGCGGCACGCTAGTACAATAAAGTGTCAAATGATACGTCATTTGCGTTGGACAGTACACTGCGTTGTATTTCGGAACATACCCTATAGTTCATAAAAGATAGGTTGATCTCTGCGACATCTGTCAGTAAAAATCACACCTATGAAGTTCTGAATTTCATAGTACTACAGACAGTACCTGTCAATGTCATACTTTATTGTAATGCCGACCTAATTAGTGCATGCCCATAAAGTATGACATTGACAGTTCTACTAAGAAATTCAGAACTTCATAGGCGTGATTTTTACTGACAGATGTCGCAGAGATCAAGCCAACTTTTATGAACCATAGTTCCTCCTAACATGGAAATCAGGGACTTTTTCCATCTTTTTATTTTTTATTTTCTTTATTAATTTCTTTTCTATTTTTTATTTTATCTTTTTGCTTTTTTCTTTTTTACTTCTTTTTGACTCTTACATTAAATTACAGATCTTATTTTTAGTTTACACATGTCTTACATTATTACATTCATATTTATTACCATATTGTTTGTTACATTTGGTCCTTATTTCTAATTTAAGTTATATCTACCATTTTTATTACCTACATTAATTTTTATTAATGTTTCTTAAACTACGTTACTGCTAAATTTGTGGAATAGTTTATTTTATATTACTATATAATATAATTTACAGTTTCCCTTAATTCTAATTCCATTTATTTTTCTTTACTACCTTATTTGCTATAATCTTACAGTAATTAAGGAACCTGTTTCTAATGTGCTTATTTCCTATAATTTGAAATATTATGTTATGTTTATCTATTCTTAATCCTAGTTCTATTTCTATGTTATTTCTTTCTTTATTATACATAGGACATTCAGTTATAATGTGAATGGGGGGGGGTTGGGGCGTTTTCCCCTGGTTTTTTTGGGGGGGGGGGTGGGGGGGGGGGGGGGGGTTTGGGGGGGGGGGGGTTTGCTGCTTAGTTGGGGGTTCTCAATTTTTGGTGGTTTTGGGGGGCTCTGTGGGGTGGGGTGGAAGGTTCTTTTAATTTTGGGGGTTTGGGTGCGGTCTTTAACAGATTCGTCTTATGTTGGGTCACAGGCACATGCCGGGCTCTCCTTACACTTGAACCAATGTACTCGTATGTTAGAACGAGAAAGATAGGGTAGACCATTGATTTAGACACTATCAGCAACGTTAAGGCGGCTACTCGCTTGCCTGCCGCAGGGGCAATCTAGCGTATAGGCGTGGGAATAGCCCTTAATTGTGATGCGTTTATGCAAGCAGGGACAATTTTCTAAATCGGCCCTGCGGCAGGGCGGCAGGGGTGCAAGACCTTCGTTGCTTCCTAGATCGTAGCTGCAGTTTTCGCGTATGTAGCGTAATTGGGGCAATTTCAATCAGTTCGTTGGTGACTATCACACGAAGCACATGTGTGAGTACAAGTCACAATGAATTGATGAATTAAAAGTATGAAATTTGGACACGGGTGACAGAAGTGTAGATGTTTCACCTTAACAGCCATTTAGACCAATTACACCAAATGAGTTGTCAATTGATTCATCTTTATCAAAAGTTAAGGATAAAAAAGAGAAATCTGTATTATTTTTACTGTGTTGTAATAATATTATCACTACTCTATATTTATCATATTTTCAACTTAATGTCAACAACAGTGTCATTTTTAATGATTATTATGTCTTCTGTATAGATATTGTGGCACAAACAGTAATTTTTTTACCTGATCATAATATAATGATTTTGATGACTATGAAAACACGAATTTTAAAAATGATTGTGACAAGCTTCATTATGGACCTATACGATCATTGAATAACGATCCGCCCCGACTTCGCTCGGGTGATTTCTGGATCTCGACAACAGAACTACCTACCGAGGCCATGTGAATATAAGTTAATAAGTTTTTCCTAACTGTTAAATAAATAAAATAAATAATTTATAAATAATATTTATTGAAAGACACTTTTTTAATTTACCACTGTAAGGAAGTAAGTAAGTACGTATGTATGTAATTATTCTAAGCGTCCCTGATAGCACGAAAACGCTTGACAAATTTAGGTTTGTCAGAGTGTGCGTTAGCTAGTGATGTATATTTTACTGTATAGGACTATCGAAAATTATTGTTTAGGAAGCGGTAAAAAGATTTCAAAAAATATTTTAGTGCACGAAACTGAATAAATTTCGTGCACTGAACTATTTTACTAAAAAACAACCGAATTTTTACCGTTATAGTTCTAAAATAATTAAAAAATATTCAAATAACCTGTTCTCGGGAAAAAGCTGCAACGACCTGCATTTTCCATCAACCATCATTCATCATAGCCCACAAAAGTCCACTGTTGATCGTAGGCCTTCCCCATAGAATGCCTCATAGAGAGCCATAATTGACACGGTTGGCGAGCAGGTTGCCAATCGTAGTTCTATTTTGTGTTATTATTAGGAAGATGCTGCTACCCATTACCTGTTTAAATTTCTCTCAGTCGCGTCTTACTATACCTATGGGACGATATGCGGTTGTGGATATTCATTCACCGCCAATACCTGCATTTCGTTGGATTTTAATTCAAAATGTACAAAGTCCCAATAATCTGTAAAAAGGGTAAGTCTATCATTGAACTTAAAAAAAGTCCCAAGAATCAGATCGGAAAGTTTGTATTTTCAAGCTATGAAAGCTTTAGAGAAAAATATTTGCTGCTGTGGACAGTTTCCTCGAAATTTCTTTTTTTAACGTTATATTAATCAAATATAAATAGGTAGATATTTAATCACGTATATATCTATTTATATTTCAGCATGGGTCAGGTATCGAGAGTTGTGAGTATCAAATACTATGCTGGCACTGAACCGCGCATCTCATACGCGGTCATCTACCAGCGCTTCAGGAGCATTACTAAATATCTATACCTAACTACGCTAAAATTTTTATCAATGTGACTTGGGAATATAATCCCAAGAAGAAGTTGAAGCTCCGCGCAACCCCTTGGGGAAAATAGCGTGTTGCCATGAATATTGTACTAGTGTGACCGTGAGGTGCGGGTGGTGAAGTACGGTTATAAACGATTCGAGCCGCTCTGCGCTGGATGCGGTCAAGTGGAAGGAACTTGTACTGGGGAGCCCCAGCCCAGAGATGGGAACTGTATTCCATGTGCGGCCGAACCTGCGGCTTGTAAAATTGCAGGCGGTGTGCCGGCATGAAATACTGTCCCGGTCTGCTGAGCATGCCAAGCTTTTTAGAAGCCAATTTGGCCTTCTTTTCCAAGTGACCACGAAACTGCACGTCACTGGATATGTCAACGCCGAGGATTCCGATACTGGCTGAGGCAACAAGAGGAGTGCCTTGAAGCTGAGGAGATACGACAAAGGGGTTCTTTTTAGCGGTTAACGCGCAAACTTGTGTATTCTGAGGGTTAAACTGGACTAGATTTAGTCGCCCCTAATCCGAGACTTTGTTCAGCAAAGACGACTTCAGACACAAGTTTGCCCCGGTACTCGGAGACGTTTTCCCGAGAAATATTGGCACGGCCGTTGCACAGAGCATCACTAGTGATGTCATCAGCATAGCAATGAATGTTGCAGGTTTGCAATATATCATTGATATTGTAACCCTCCCCCTTGCTTAGTATATGTTAAATTATTTATTTATTATGAATTTACCCTTTATATAAAATAATATCTA